AACCGATTATATTTGATTGAAGCAGAGTATTACAGAGGGTGGTGAGATAACCCATTTAGGAAAGAACCAAGCCATCATCACGTAAAAAGATAGAGCTAGAGCCACACATCAATAAGCAACAGAGAGCTATGTAACACCTTGGAAGGATTCGAACCATAAGTATAAGTAACTTCGATCGTCATGTCTTTGCGGAGCCGTAGCTTGTGAATCATCTCTTGTTTCTCCAATCCAGCAAGCTTCGATCTGAGTGTGGTTTTGATGTCTTTGACTACCTGAGCAACTGTGAGCGGTATGCAATCTTGCATTCCTTTGTTTCCAAATCTCGTATGCAGTTGCTTGTAGCAGTAACTTACAAATGACATTAATCCTCGCGTTTGTTGTCGGAGCTTTGGCCCAAGTCATCAACGTAGTAAGATCTGTTGGAGGAGAGATTGAAGAGCTAGAGAACGAAGTACTGCCATACCTGTTTCGCAAAGTCACAAGTGAAGAAGAGGTGGCTAATGCTTTCATCTCCATTGTTACAGAGCAAACATGTTGAAGGTACTTGAAGCCCCCATCTTCTTAAACAGTTTCTTGTGGGCAACCTTCGATAAAAGAATGTTTGGGGACATTCTGTTTATACCAAACTACTGAATACCATCCAACCGAAGGAGAGTGGGGGTTGAGGCTTATCCATGTCTGCCTTGATGAGAAACCAGTCGGTGTTGCCGAGAGGTTTGTTTGCCAAAACAGCTTGTCTCTAAGACCAGAGAGTAACAGAGGAGGAACCAAAGGCAAGCAAGACCTGACCAAAGTTACGATTGTATTTCTCCCTCTAGGCAGCAGCCATACGCCTCCGGAGATTGCTTGAGATACAGTAGCTAAGTACGAAATTCCCGTTGCTTGGGGGCCGTTTGGACCAGAGATATTGATGAGAGGACCTAAGGAGGTCCAGTTATCGTGCCAAAAGAAGGTATTTAAGCGAGATGTTACTTGAGAGATTATTTATGGCCGAGCCAGAGGCTGTAGCTTGGCTAATCTCCTCCAAATCCAACCTCTCGTGTTTGCAAAGTCAATTTCCCAAAAGACTCGACCTCTGATTAAATGTTGATTAACCCAAAGAGAAGCACCTCTCGTGAAAAGAATCCAAATTAGCTTCAGTTCCAACCAAGAAGCCTTCTTAATCCTAGACCACAATCTTTTTTAGGCGTGCAAACTGTTTCCCAAGACAATTTTGCGCTTCTAGCTGAGTTAGGAGCACTACTCCAAAGAAAGGCACTACAGATTCGTTCAAGCTCATGAAGGCATCGGTTTGGGAGTAGGAAAACCGAGCACCAGAAGTTTATTATGCTCATGATAACCGACTGAATCAGCTGCAGCCTTCCAGCGTAAGAGAGATGCTTTGCCGACCAAGAACTGATTCGTGAGATAACTTTGTCAATTAACGGTCTATAGTCTTGAGGCCCAAGTTTATGGGGAACTAGATACCGAACCGGAAGAGCACCTTGAGACAGAAGCCTTATATAAAGTAGATAGAACCTGAAGTGAACCAGCTGAACCATCGAAGAATATAAGCACGTCGTCAGCAAAACTCAGGTGTGTGACAAGTGAGTCGTTACAAAGGGGATGAGGCTGAAAGAGATCCATGTTAGGTTTTTG